CACAAAATGTCTGTAAACTGCATCAGTTATTGTCACATAGGGGAAATAAAAACAGCTGTAGACTTTTCTTCATGTGCGTAAGTTATTCCTCCCCATTAGGTTTCTGTACCAGTTTGTCTTTGCTAGCTGCAAAGCATCATGCATGGTAAGTACACTTCAGGGGCCCTCGAAGAACTTGGGAAAGAATGGTTTTGTTAAGTTTCCTTATGCTTGGTTTTAGGATATTTATTTAAAACTTGGCCACTGTACTTCCAACTTCCATTTCTTGCTGTGTTTGGCTTTCAAATAATGACACAGAATATGAAGTAATTCTCGTTTCTTTTTCATAACTGCTGTTCTTAGAGGGAAAAATCAAAATGAGTCCCAACAATGATGTAAACAGTCTTAAATTTTCATTACCTAATTAAACATCTTCATATAGAAATTTCTGCCCCATGGGGTTTGATTTCCTTCAGTTTGTGACATATTTTTACAATAGTCAGTTTTGACTGAGAAAGAGGAAATACAATGCAGGTTAAAAGTTATTAGCCAGAATAAGTTAATGTTGTTTTTTTTTAAAAAATCACGCAGTAGTTATTAAATGGATATAAAATCATAATTTTGGTATTAATGCCAATATAATGTTAATCATCATGTTCTTGAAGATGTAAATTGTTCCCTTTTATCCTCCTAAATCTAAGCATAACTAGTCCTCAAAACTCAACTGTTTTTTTGCTGTTACTTAAGGAGGTAAGAAGCCCCACAGAAGACATAAATATTCACTTTATTTCATACTGAACTCTACCCTACCAGCTATGCAGCAGTCCTGTGGGTAAAGACTCAGTCTCTCAGATACTGTGGCCCTTGTATTTAACATATGATAAGGCAAGCCATGGGGGTGTATGTAGATAATGGATTTATAAGCTCAGCTGCTGCCAGGTGCTTACAAATCGGCTGATAAATTTGGTATGCTTGAAGTCTGAAGTGCGATATTCATAAAGTGGCAGAGCTGCAGGCCGTAGTCTCACAAGTTGTTTCTTCTCTGTTGCAGGTGGGCAATCCTACTCGTGCCCTTCCACCACTACCTCACAAGGCAGACTCATGCCAGCAGCTTTCTGGCTCTGAACAATAAGTGGTACACTTAGTTTCATCCTCCTAATTTTCTTCCCTTCTTCTTTACCTTCTTTAATTACAAGTCAGACTGCACTTTGTCACTGAACACGGACTTCGGACTCTATTTGTATGAGGCCTACCAATGCCTCAGCTTCGAAATGAGTTTTATAGGCAGTGATTAACAAAACCCTCATATAGCATGGTATGAAAGCATCAGGAAAAAATTCTGCATGATGTGATTCTGTTGAAGTAGCTGGCTTAGATTAGGGAATAAGACAGCCCTTTATATCTACATTAATCTGGGGTTTACTAATTCCTAAAGAAAACACTACTGCAGGTTTTTTCCTAACTCTTAGTTGAGTCAGAGGTTCAATTTTAAAGTGTTTGCATCTGATTAACTTTTTTCTTTAATAAGATCCAGAGATGCTATTAAATTAAGTGAACATAAAATCAAGTGCCTGATGAACAACAGGAGTCCATTTCTTTTCATAGGTCAGACTGCTTGTAATGAAGATACAATGATCAGTCTTAAAGAATCAAAGGATCTTCCCAGAGATGAATGAGATCAACACCAAGGCCAACATGCGGATTTTGATAAGCAGGTATCTATAACTAACTATGCAAATGAAACACTGGACTCTTATTTCAGGCCCTAGAGGGTACTTTTAAACAACCACATCTTGTGCAAAAGGCTTCAGTGCGTCTTTTTGAGTTTCAGTGCAAGTACTCATGTTCCTTTTTTCTATGCGCAGTCTCTGAGTATGTTTTCTCATAGGTTATTAATTCTGTATCAGCTGGCATAACTTTGACTTGATGCTGTGGTTCCGGATGGCAGGGCTACAGAACTCTGCTGCCTTTTCACTGACGGAGCTGGAGAGATATTGTTAGGAGTGGGTGCTGTAGCACCGTTTCCATGTCAGTTATGGATTTGTGCTGGATTGTTCTCTGCCTACAGAAAATATTCTCTTCCAGTTTGCATGTCAATGTTCAGGGGCTGGAATATTGTCTTTGCAGCATTCTCTTTCAGGAAGTGCTATGGGCAATTAAGAAATACTAATTATTAATTAGTATTTTAGGCAGGGCTTTAGTTTGGTTACTGCCAACAAAGAAGAGAGATTTGTTGCTGTCCAGGGCCCTTTCTGTATGTCCTGCAATCAGTGTATGCCCATATCAAGCACCATACCTGATACGGTGGCTATGATACTTATGAATGTTTAGAAGAGTTAGTGTCTGTCTTCACTGAGTTCAGATTACACTGGTTATCAAAGTCTCTTAAATTCCCGAAGTCTCTTGGGAATTTAAAAAATATTCTAGCTCCTGCCTATATAGTCCCTCTGCAACTGGATTGTTGTAGGGGTACAGATACTTGAACCTATTAAATACAGTTTCACACCAATCTCATGTTTATGCTTACCTTAGTGTTACCTAGCCTTTTTGTAAGTATTAGTTGTCATGCAACGTGCAAGGTTATACACTCTTGTACTCCATAAAAGTGGGATGTGACCCCATGGAAAATATACTGACAAATCAAAATTTGTAATCGGTTTAAAGTTCAAGGGTGCAGCCAAATCCTGAGCCAGGGTAATTTGACCTAGATTCACTGAAGTAGATCCGCAGTGAACTACACAAACAGAAGAACCCTGTCCCACTGTGGTTGCTGTCATATGGTGGGGATCCCAAGGAAACACTTAAAGCCTGATGAATGCTGTGGTTTGTTGCTTCAGCAAAATGAAATTTCAGATTTAAAAAGAGTAAGTTTCCTTCTGCTACTTTCTACAAATAATAATGACTGAACACCCAGGATGCTGAGGAAACTCTCTCAGTTGAGTTGAAGGGACACTAGCAACATACGCGTGCTCATTTCTGTGCCACTACAGAAGGGAGTGTTAAAACACTGTTTCCACTACTTGGGTCAAAAATCTACATTTGCCATTCATTTGCTCCCTATATCTTTGGTAGTATCATCCTGTGTCCTTGTGTCCCCCTGCCTCCAAGCTCCAGGTCCATCTAGACATCGACATGCTGTAACTTTTAACCCCATATTAGCGCAACTGCAAGAGTTTTCATCAGAAGTTCAGAGTTTGGATTCAGTAGCTAATGTTCCAAGGACACTCTTTACAAATTTTAGAACAAAGCAACCTTCAGTCGTCACACACCCTCACAGATTTTTCCCAATTTTTCCATTCTCCCCCCATAATGCCTGCATGTGTGACTAATAAGGCTTGGGAAATCTCAGCAATTTTTCAACACTAAGGTTACTGGAGATACAGAAGAGCAGAACTTGCTAATAGCTCTGGTGATTTCTGTATATTGCTGACAGCTGTTTGAAGACTATTTTTGAGATTAATTAAACAGTTTTAAGAACCAGAAATAACAGGTTAAAGGTATGCCTCAGCTATTGTTTCCATTAGTATAAATACAAGGTTGTCTATGCCTATGTATGACAGTGAATCTTTCCTTGACTTGCACCGGTGTAACTGACTTCATCTCAGTCCTGGAAGGAATCAAACTAAAATATTTACACTGGCTCAGGCTATTTTAACTTTCTTTCCAGGGGACTCAGCACTTCTGAGCACCTGGATGTTAGCTGTACCAGTTACTGATAAATAATGCACATTACCTTCTGCCACACCAGGTGTTGTCGTAACTGCCTTCACTCTATTGAGGAAGACACTATCAATGGCTGGTGTTAGCTTTGGCTTTGTGCAGTTATGGTAACTTTGTCAGGTATTTTGCGTTTATGTTTCACCCTACATGATAAGAAATAGGAATTCAATAATGTAGTGGAAAATCATTCAGGGGGGCCTAAGCAGCATAAGGTACTGCACTATTCGTGATCTTCATTCATTAGAGTCTTTCCATTGCTATCATCCTGAGTTGATTGCAAATAGACTACATAGGAGCAAAAGATTCATACTGACAGCATGTGGATACATGACAATGAGGAAGAGGACTCCTGTTAATTAATGAAAAGACTATTTTAATATTATTCACGTCTGAATTGGTGGGATATGGGAGAACTGCAAATGGCTTTTTATGTACAGAAGGCAGAATTTACTATATATGATGCGAAGGCATTTGGAAAAAAAAGTAGTAAAAAGTATTTTTAATATTAAATCATATGTAGGAAAAACTATGTTCTGCTGTGAATTGTGTTCCAAACTTCTGATATGACAAGCTTGGACAAGTTACTCATCCCACTGTACCTCAGACTTTAAGGCTGCAAAATACCTCTATGCTACTGTTCTGCTTTGTCAGGTCAGTCTTACACTTCATGCATTACTGTTTATAAACAGGATCAGCTCCTCTGGGGAAGTTACTATGGCTGCAAAGGCACAATGTGCTATGGGGAAATGGTCCTACTCCCTCAATAGATGACTGCATGGTCCCACTGTAACTGTTAAAATGCTGAACTGTAACCTAAACCTCTATTGTTCATTCATTACCTGGAAGAATAGTAAGTGTTCCGCTACAGACTGTGTGGCTAACGCAAGAGGTTCTGTTAGCATACCGCCAGGAATAAGCCGTTTATGTAACAAGCTCAAGTGCACCTCGAAATAGAGAAACCCGCGAGCGTGGAAGGGCGGCGGGACCGCCTGCGCGGAGGGGCACATGGCTCGCTCCCGCCGCCCGGTTCCCCCCTCTGACCGCCCCAGCACGGCCCGGCCCTCCCGCCGCCTGGTTCTCGGAGTGCATCGCCGTGGGGTGGGTGCGGCTGCAGCTCAGAGCATCCGCACCATCCTCTCGCCAAATACCCCAAACCCACTCCAAGGCCCTAACGGGACCCGTAGGAGTGGGGGTCAGGGACCATGAAGAGCAGTCAATCAACCACGGGCGGGGAGCGGACCGGGGGAAGGGAACGGAGCGAACTGGGCTCAGGGTCCCCGGTGGCGGCGGGGGACACTCACCATGGCGGCGGGGCGGTGGCGGCGGAGCGCTGTCCAGGGTATCGGCCGGCTCTGCTCGGCTCGGCTCGGCTAGGCTCTGCCGGCGCTGCCCGCCGCGCCCGCGCTATAAGGCACCGCCTCCTCCCCGGCTCCGCCGCGCCCGCCCCCGCCTGCGGACACTTGGCGAGAGGGACCGATCCCAGACCCCGGCTCCAGGCAGCATCGCTCCGCCGGCGACGCCCAGGGTTCCCTGAGGGTCCCCGCTGCGCACAGGGAGCCGGTGGAGCGCAAAGAGGGCAGGGAGATGGTGGCGCGAAACGTCAGGGAGGTGGGGATGCAATAGCTGAGAGGGAGCAGGGGTCCACAGAATCACAGAATGGTTTGGGTTGCAACGGATCTTAAAGACCGCCTGGTTCCAACCCCCTGCCATGGGCAGGGACACCTTCCACTAAACCAGGTTGCTCAAAGTCCCATCCAACTTGACCTTGAACAATTCCAGGGATGGGGCAGCCACAACTTCTCTGGGCAATGAGTTGAGCAACGCTGCCCCACCACAGCCCTAGGCATCTCTGTGGATATGGACATGGCAAAACTGTTGGGAAGATTAATTTCAGAGGGGTCTCCACTGGCAGGCTGGTTTGGGAGCAGAAAGGGTCATGGGCTGGCTGCTGTGATACTGACATGACCCTGTTGTATTTAACAGAGGGTTTGGTCTATAGCCCAGCACTTACTCATATTTGCAGTTGAAGTTCTCTGATCTGAAGCCCTGAATCCTCCACACAGTGTGCCAAAGTGAGATCGATGTTGCCCCACCGTCTAGCTGTGTCAACTCCCCAGAGATCTATTAGGGAGGAGTTGATAATCAAATGTTGATTTCAGTTAGCTAGGGAAGAGGTAGAAATCATGCAGGGCAGGAGGTACTGACCCCATCACAACTCTACTGCTGATACAGAACAGAAAATGACTGGGGAAGAGGAGAGGCTTGTGCTTGGTGGAACAAACACAAAATTTCATGGCTTCAATCATGCCTGATTTTTGCTCTAAATGCTAATGAAGCCTTATATCTCCTATAAAACACTTATTTAAACTATCACAGCTTATTGAAAATGTCCTGCTTCTTTTTCAGTTTTTAATAAAGCAGTATTTGGCATTTGAAATCAAAATAATCTTTCTTAAAATATTTAACTTCTTCATTTTTATCCTATTTTATAAATTAAAACTTGTAAAAAATTACACGTTCAGACATGCACTGCCATTACTGCCCTCTCAGCTCTGTCTGTTCATAGTTTTATTGACTACAGCTCACAGTCTTTCCTGGTTTCAGTGTTTCAAGAAGTAGAAATAACCTAAGAGGTCCATGTGTGGTGCAGGACAGGTGACATCTTCACACCCTAAAGTGTACTTGATGTATAGATGGGCTATATTTGTCCAAAATTAAGTGCTGATGTTCTAAACCCCGAGACTTCCTTTCTGGTAGGCTTTGCCCATGTACTACTTCATCCCCCCCCTCATCCCTTCTGGCCCAAGCTGCTGAGACCCACCAAAGGCTGTGAGAATGGCTGGCTTCCCAGGGCTGCCAGCCCAGCAGTGACGCTGCTAGGAGCTTCACGTGAAAGCATGTCCTCGTGTGACTTCTAGCCCACTTTTACAGATGCAAATTTGCTTGCTCAAGCTTCCAGCTTCCAGTGTATCAGTCTAAACTGGACTGCCATGATTCCTGAGGTTGACCTGCCAGCCTTTCCTCCAGCTTATCTTTTTGTTAGGTTATTCATTAAATTATTTCTGCATTAGCACAGACCATCTCAAAATATTGACAAAAAAATACCTTTTGATATCTATTCTGCCCTCAGAGTAACCGTTCCCTCAGCAGAAAATTTCCTCTTTGTCCAAGAGATTTTTCCATAGGTGCTGTGGAGCAAGGAGCAGTTTGGAAGCTGACTGACAGAGAAACATAGCAGTGACTCAGTGCAGTGGAATACTTCAGCCTCATAATTTTTGTTCCCATTTCTTTACAGTCCAAACAGGCTGGAGTTAGTGTGTCAAGCCAAACCCAGATCTAAGAACAGGGTAATACAAACTATTTTTATTATTGTTTTTCTTTGACAAAAATAGAAAGGAAACATGCTGAATTTTGCTAAAGATCAAACACTTTTAATTTCTAGGGTTCCTTGTGCCTGATACATTATATTAATACTAATCAATGTAATTTTCTTCCATAGTAACAATTTTGATTTTATTGAAACTGTAATGTCAGGTACCTACCACTGATCAGGCAATGAAGACACACATATGAAACAAACAGGATTCTTGTGGCATCTCAAAGAAACTGTAATAGTATTATTGATACTTTTAACACTTATCTAATGGCCTGAATTTGGAGATTTAATGGTTGTGGCAGGATACGGATTCATCAGTTTTGTATGAAGGGCAATGTCATGCATTTAGTTGGAGCCTGCGCACTGGGCGTAGCAGAGCCCTGCCACGCACATGAGTTTTGACTGGTTGTCGAATAGCATGTTGTCATGAAAGGAAGGGTGGAAAATTCAACATGTGTAAAAATGGAATTGCATAGCTCCAGCTGAAATTCCCCAAAACCAAGGAGAGCAACTGGAAGCAATTAAAGCCGCACTTCATTCTGAGGTGATGATGAAATGCCACAGGGGGTTAGCTTGAGTCCTGATGGTATAGGGGTTGTTGTAGGTTGGACCACATCACAAACAACTTACAGAATTGCAGAGGCCTGAGGTTGGCAGGGATCATCTGGTCCAACCTCCTGCTCAGGCAGGGTCCCCTACAGTCAACTGCCCAGAGCTGCGTCCAGTTAGACTTTGAACATCTCTGCTCCATATGAAAAACATTATTGAGCTGCAATGAATTCAGAGCTCCCAGGTCCCATTGGCCTTGCAGCTCAAAGGGAAACAGGGTGGACAAGGTACCACTGATCAGCCAGCTACCAGCAACTCTTGGCTCCTGCTAAATGTCCATCAGTAGTATTTAGCTTTAGTTTGGAAAATAAATGTGACATCAAGACATGTCTCCCGTTGCCAATCACTGCTCTTGATCATGATCTCCTCCAAAGCCTGGAATTTAAACTCAGGACCTGCCTCTTTCACAGAACTGTCCTGTCAGGAGCATCTGTACAACTCAATGGCAAAGTGCCTCTTCTTTCCTCTAGCAGCTAGTTCAGACAAAAGAGGTTACCCATTCTTTTTCTCATTTTATGGGCACAGGACAATGGTTATGTACCTAAAGATCCCGGCTCTGCTAGTGATACCATGGGGAGTTACCAGGTCAATGTGACAGAATTTCTGCTAGCTCTCAGTGAGTGCTTGAGAACTGTCAGTAATAAAACTGCATGGAATTAAATCTGAGTAACCAGGCTGAAGCAAAAAGACTGTAATTTATCAAAACTGATTCGAAAGTTTGTCCTCTTTTTTGAATCTGGTATGCAAAGTTCTGTCTACAATGTACTTTTTTCTATGCTTTTCATTTTTGAAACTATAGTTGGTGTGATCTGTCTGTACAGCTAAAACTAAAACTTGTATTAAATTGCTAGCTGCAAGGGTGTAAAATAAAACCCAAGACACAATAAACTTGTGCTGAAGGAAGTATTTAACTTAGCAGTTGCACAGCTTTGCAGGTTTTGTGATAAATATTATGTTTTAGCACCCTCTTCTGGAACAAAGTAATACTGCCAGTATGGACACTAAAAGGCTTTGCTAAAGCCGGAAAGCAATTGCTAGGTGTCCACGAAAGTCCTTGGCTGCAGTCACATATACAGTTTAGTTATATAGTTTCTTATTCTATAAATTTACATCAATTTTTCTCATCCCTCTTTTGCTTATCGTCTTTATATAAATTGTCTGTATTATTTAATTAAGGCAGCTAAGAGCTGGGAAAAGGTCTGAATCAAAAACTGAAGCTGAGCTGTTGCAAAAGACTGCAGTTGTATGCACAGTTCCTTGTTGTCTGCATGTCTCCTGTGAGGAGCCTGGTGGTGGTAACTTGCTGTGAATTGTGGATGGACCTGAATGATATCCCTCATACCTGCCAATATTTACTATTAGGGTAGCATATGTGGGATCCAGTTTGGAATCATCGTCATGCTGTGTTGAAACCTACACACAATCACAGTATGATGGATAATGGTGAAATACAAAGGAAAGGGGTGGAAGGATGCTGCTGTCTGTACTCCTGCCCTGGGAAGTAGAAATGTGTTAATGCCAGAAGAAAGTTGGACGGGGGCAAGTCACCAAGTATATTCTGAGTAGAAGAAAGGGCTACACTTCATACAGTCGTAGAATCACCTATATTGGAAAAGACCTTTAAAATCACCAAGTCCAATCACTACCCCAGGACTGCCAAGTCCACCACTAAATGTATCACTGAGGGCATCTACACAGTTTGTGAACACTTCCAGGGTCTGTGATTTTACCAGTGCCCTGGCAGCCTGTTCCAATGCCTGATAATCCTCCCTGTGAAGAAATTTTTCCCAGTATCCCATCTAAACATCCCCTGGTGCAGCTTGAGGCTGCTACCTCTCATCCTATAGGTTGCTACTTGGGTGCTTGCATGCATATTTGATCTTGTATATGTAGATCCATGTATATCATGATCTATATACATGGATTATATATGTATTTATCATGCCACAATGACTCCATTCCAAGATAATTCCTTCTTCAGTTATGAATGCTGGAGGTGTGATGTGAATTAATCAACTACTATTAGTAAACCAGTTTGGAACCATAGGATGATGTCTATGAAATATTTTAATAGCCCTAAAATGTTGTGACAGCTGTTTTACAGGAAAGCAGTGGTCCCATACCCAGCAAACTTACTTTAACTGTAGATTTTAAGTAGAAAACCAGAGAAACAGAACAGTGTAGCTAGGATGGAGCTGAAATAGTTTCCCAGAAGTTAATAGGGTAGTAACTGTTACTGGCTTGCTGCTTGTTTGCAGTGCAGAAAAAAAACCCTTGCTAAGTATGTGTAACAAACGCTTAGGCTAGAATTAGAGTGATGCTTAAAGATCAGGAAACATACCAACATACAAACTTATCGACAAATAACAGAAAATATGTTTTGAATTAAATACTGGCACAAGACATGCTGAGTAGGTTAGGCAGAATATTAAAGAGGGCTATTGTCGTGGTTTAAACCGAGTCAGGTAATTCGT